ATCTACCTAAAGACTTAATATTTCAATAATCTTGTTAACCCAGTTCCTAAAACACACAAAAATAGTAATACCACGTGAAAAGGAAAAGAAAATTGACAATTAATAAAGTAGAACAAACAACTCAAAGCATGATATCGATATTAGATAAAGCATCAAATCAAACATAATATCAATATGGAAAAAATTGCTAGATTCTCCTCTTAACTAACATCTAATCTAATCTAACTCAAATACTCAGCTTTCTAAAATAGATACTAATCTCTTTCCCTTTTTGTCACGAATAAGAATGGGAAAATAGTAATATAAAAATGATTACCATTGAGATTAATGAGTTAAATAAGTATGCACATGCAAAAATATGAAAAATATATGATGGGAGAAAATATTCCTTTCTTTTGCTGCAACTGTTTTTTCATGAATTTTTTAAATATAAAATCATGAACAGTTATTTGCTTACAAATGCATATATAATTAATAAACAATAAACTTTTTCAACATGACTTATGTTAAACCTAAATTGAGTAAATTGTGTAAACTATTCATATGTGAAAGTGCCGTTAAACTCTTGTAAGTAAATCTCAAAACATTAAATCAATGAGAAAGGATATGCATGGATATCATTGGTGAATAAATATATTTTTCAAATTATGAAAGTCAAAACTAGTGCTGCTAAATTAAAAGCTGATATTTGATTTTGTATATATGCTTCTTTCTCTCGTTATTTGTGGGCACATACATAATTTGTTTTCTTTTATTTTCTTTTTCATCTTATGCGAGACTCTTCTTCATTAAACTTTCTAAATAATCCATGTAACGAGTTTTAGATCGTTAACTCTAAAGTCAGATGACTTATAGGGCAATATGTTTTAAGTTAGCCTGCATGCTTAATCACTCGAATCAAATAGGCTATGAAGAAAAGTATAAGATGTCTCACAACAATTTTTTTCTTCAAATATTTCTTTTGAAACTTAATAACAATTTTTTAAAGGGGAATATATAGGAGTTTAGCTCAATTAGTTTAAAGATCATTTCATATTTAAAGTCAATTCACAACACAAGTGACCGTCATCCCAAATCTCTCACAAGTGATCGCTTAATGTGTGTAGTGCAGATGATACATGCAAGAACCTATATCAAGTACTCCAAATAAGTTCTAAATAAGGTTAATGAAAAATTCATTTACTATTAATTAATTATATTAGTACTGGATTATAAATTAACATGTCCAAAAAATCCTTTTTTCTTTTCTCAAATTTTCAATTTTTTTTTGTTTTTCATTTAAAGAAAAAAGAAAAAGTTCAATAATAAAGAATAGAGTCGATGCATGTATATGTAAATATCAATTGAATAATAGAGATACATGCATCTAAATGCAAGCACAAAAATGCTCTTATCATAAGGAGCAACACATGCAACACCACAATTCACATCATCACTTTGACCTATTAGATCACTGCCTTTGACCCAAATCTTCTTATAAAAATATATAATCTTAGTCAATTGCGTCGTTATATTGGTAAAGTGACTCATTTGATTAGCTAAGGACCTAACAATACGTGAAGTGGTGTCCTGTTTGTTATTCCTAACCAAGGACTTGTAGTATCTAGGTCTAAGGTGATCCAACTCACCACAATTGTGACGTGGGAATGAATCTTGCAGGATTTCTAGGATTCATGTTATGAAACTTATGTTGAGGAACCATACGTTTGTTTCTAGAAGAGGTAGCAGTTTGGGCATTTGTTTCTTTAAAGCCTAAACTACTCCTATTCCTAGCTGGATTTTGTAATCCAATATGGAGCTTGTTTGGGAGAGACTTTTGGGGGAAGAATTGATTTTGAATAGTGATATGATGGGAAATGTGTGGTTGAAAAAGAAGAAAACGTTATTGATGTGATGTAAAATATTATTTTATTGAAAAATGTGTGGTTGAAAATGAGAATTGATTTACTGTAAAAAATTTTAATCTCTCCCAAACAGGGCCATGGTGTCAATTTTCTTAGACCCACTAGCGAAAGACTGAAGTTGGGCATTAGATTTCTCAAGATTACTAGTTGGAGTCTTAATCTTAACTTCTAAGGACTCTTTCTCTAATCTCAACTTATTCAATCTACTGCTAGATTAATTACTAAGTTTCACCACAAGGTTCTCATTTTCTAACTCTAGTTCATGTAATTTCTTAAAAGCAAGAGTTATTCACGTTTTTCATTTTAAGGCACTCCTTATATAGCTGGTTATAAGCCTCTTGTAAACCAAATCATCTTCTAATTCATCATTAGAATGATCTGATTGCTCTATTCCTCATTACTCTCATTCTCCTCCTTAGATTCACTCTTAATCACAAAGGCAAATGCCATATAATTCCCTCCCTTATCAGGATTGGAACTATCACTTTCATTATCTAAATTAGACTTGTTAGTAGCAAGTGTGGCATTCATAGCCTTTTCCAGGGTTTTCTTATAACTTGGGCACTTAGATTTCACATAACCAAAAATCAAATTTCACATTACCAAAATACGTCATAGACCTATTCTAGATATCCTTAGCATTATTCTTATCTTTTTTATCTTTCCTAAATATACTAGATTCACCTTTAACTTCTCAAAAGGCATCTTACTTTCCTTAAGGAAATTTCTTAAATATCCTAACAATATATACAACTTCTTCAATTGGTATAAGAATTCAATTTATCCAATTGGTACCATAATTCAACTTAAATCATTCTTAAGGGAAATGTCAATGGTTAGAATCCTTGGAAAGCGATAGAAATCCATGAGGGATAAGATGGGTCAAAGCTCTCCCATGCGCATTGTTTTTGTAACGATCCACACCTCGAGTCTGAGTGTTCTTTTACATACTGTCAACTTTGGGAGGAAACCTTCTCTCTTATATCTCACGGTTTTCTATTGCGTTCTTCAATATTCGAACACATGACCTCCTCTTAAAAGAGACTTAAATTAAATCTTGGTACCAATGAATAATTGAAATGGCATAGAAACCTAGATTTCATATGATTATGTGATTTATTTGTTCATTAGATATGTCATGTGTTTATTTAAGTATGTATTTATAATTTAAATATAAAGTTTATTATAAACTTATGATTTTTGCAGTGGATGGTCCAAGAAGCTACAAAAAGGTTGACTGCCCAATTAATTGATAATTATTAAGATTAAATGTGGTGCATACATCTTACCTTTTTCATGCGAGTGCTTAGATATTTAAGTAATTATAAAATTTCCTTCTAAATCAATAATTGAGTAATAATCCATTTTTGTAGATTAATGCATTATCATATATTTATTATATTTTAACTAATTATAGAAAAGTTATCGTAGATTAATGCATTATCATATATAATATCTCTAACTTCCTAGAAAGTTAAATGACTACATTTCATTAAATTAGTGCAATTATGTTTTTTACCTCCTTGACTCCCCAAATAGACCACACGTTTTCTTGGTGGAAAAGAAATAAATAAAAATATCCATATTTTAATCTTCAAGGCATTCCATCTTCAAATAAGTTTGGTGAAAATTATTCTTCTATATTCTCCATACATCTTTTCTCTTCTTCCGTTGTCTTCTATAATACTTAATTTATTCTTATTACAAATCTCAAGGGATTAGGAATCTTTGGCCTGGTGGATTAAAGTTCAAAGTGTTTTTGAATAAATGGTATTATCTTGACATACAATTTATATTCTTTTATACCATAATGTTCTAAATGCCTCTGGTACTCATAAATATGATATGTGATATGATCATGATGTAATCAATATTTTAAAAATCGACCCGGCTATTGATCCGAAAAAGAGAAAGGGTCAAAAGGTCGAACCGAAACTTTATAAAAAATTAAAAAATATACATTTATAAAGAAAGAAAAGAACGAAAAGTAATTTTTTTTATTAAATCAAATCACAAAATCAATCAATTACAATCCAGAAAGTCAGGTGCTACTCAATTCAATTATATAAGTCAATAACATAATATAAACAATATAATGTCAATAATATGAAACTTAAATAGTTAAAATTTAAAAGTTTCACATAGCCTATCACCAATAAAAAATGTCCAGTAATAATTGGAACCAAAAAGTGCACTAAATATAAAAGTTTAAATAGTTAAATTTCGCCTTCATCATTTGCGCACTTGAACCACCAAAGCGACGAAGTACATCCAATGTATCTAAATCACCTATATCTTGAGTATTAAACTCGTCATTATTTCCATTGTCATCTAAAACACAAAAATAAGAAACACGGTGAAGCGTATGAAAACATGGTGGGACTGATTGTTGCTACTAATTTTCTTCAATTATGAATTTTACTTAATAATGTGAAAATTACACTGATGGTAAGGGCGGGGATCCTAAAAGCTCCTTTTAATGCCTTTCAGGTTGCTAGAGAATTTGTTGTGGATAAATCTCAAGAAGGAAAGACTTTACAGACCAACTAGTTTGATTTACTCTTTGTTCATGTTGGAGCTGATGAAAAGATAAATGATATCTAGGACACGGTTTATGAGTTGGTGGGCTGATGCATATGGTACAACTGGAAACTGATATTGGTTCTCGGGTGCATTCATTAGAATCTCACATTGGCTGCTGATATTTACACGATCTACTTAATAAGGTGAGGACAATCCTCCCCTAATAAGCCGGTTTTGTTAGGTTGAGTTATGCTCAATATTCTTTCTAATATGGTATCAAAGCATAATGGCTTCCGTTCCAACTGCTCTTTTCTTCTTTGATAAAGCTTCTTTGCATCTCCATGGCAGAAGCTGAATTTCAGATTCAATCAAATCAGTTTTCTTTTACTCATCAACGAGTTATTCCACCATTGATGATGTTTCCTCCAAATCGGAGCTTTTTTGTGGTTTTATCGAATCCAATCTCAAAAAAAAAAAAAAAAAAGGCTGTTTCAGAATCCAGTCCTTCCCGATTTGTTGAAGTTTTGGCTGCCTAGCAAAGCCCAGTATCTGTGGCTTGTTCTGAATAACATGATGTTCTTGAATATCTCATCCTTATCGGGGATCATTTGTACCGCATGGATTATGAGAAATTTGTCCAAGCTCAGCAGAGAAATTCTGGCCGTTTCTTTTTTTCTGGTGGCTGCAACTTGTTCCCTCACTCTCTCTTGCGGCCGTGCCTCCTCCTTCTCAGAATGGATTCACAGATTAAGCATGCCATCTGTGATCATAGACTACAAATTACCTTATCGAAGTGGAACTGCAACAACTGTTCTCATCAATGGATTCCACACTGCTAAAGGAAACAAGATGGCCAAGAAACAGGTTCATGGGTTCTTGAAATTTTTCTCGTTTAGTTTCCTCTGGAGTTTCTTCCAGTGGTTCTACTCTGGTGGACAACAATGTGAATTCATTAATTTCCCGACCTTTGGATTGAAAGCTTGGAGACAAACATTTTACTTCGATTTCAGCATGACTTATATAGGAGCAGGAATGATTTGCTCCCATCTTGTGAACTTGTCTCTTCTTCTATCCTTATCTACTGGAAATACCAAAGTTTCTCCACTTTATCTTGAAGAATATAATACCAGATGGCCATACCCTCTCTTATCCAAGATGGCCATTCTCAATCTTCACCGTCCATCTTGAGGGGGCGTGTTGGAATCTACAAGCTCCAGCTCACACGGATCATGATCCAACCGCAAGTGATCCTACTCGTCCATCAGCTTATGCATCCAACGACAGCTGTTGCGTAGTTAGTTGTTAGGTTTGTTAGTCAGTTTAGTTGTTAGATAGTTTGTTAGTTGATTAGTCTATAAATAGAGGACCTTGTATACCTTTCAATTCATTTGATAATTTTCCAATCTTCAATATGAAATCACATTGAATTTATCTTTTCTTCTTTCTTTTCTACTCTCTAGTTCTATGCTAGAAGTGAATTTAACATTATATCAGAGTATGCTCAGTTTTGTAATGTTGGGTGTACCCAATATTGATTTGTTCATAATTGTTTGGCATGATCTACGCTGTGCGTGAGGGGACGTATTAGAATCGCACATTGGCTGGTGATATTTACACGATCCACTTAATAAGGTGAGGACAATCCTCTCATAACAAGCCTATTTTGTTAGGTTGAGTTAGACTCAAAAATTTTTCTAATAGCATGTGTCTATTATAATGAGCAATGGGACTACTTTGGACGAAGATAATTCAATCATTTCAGCTTTTGATGCTAAACTCAAGATTAACAATGAAATTTCACAACTTTTCCCTCGTCAAAGTTATACAATGAAAGGGTTTTCTACGGAGTATCGAATGTTTGAACCCTGTGACAGTTGGAAGATAACATTTATGTTGGAAGATAGATGTTCTTTGGTAGCAAAGTTATGGTGTACTTTATCGCCCCTCGGGGGTTCTGTCAGCATGTCGTAAAGGTAGTTCCACATGGAGGAGAACCGCTTCCTGAATGTCCAACTCAAATTTGTATAAATTGTGATCACATCTGAATTTATCAAAGTGACAAACCAGGGGGAAGGCCACCACTCCTTTAAAAAAAAATGGTTACACAATGAAAGGGGGGAAGCCAAACAAGAANGAAAATTATTCTTCTATATTCTCCAGACATCTTTTCTCTTCTTCCATTGTCTTCTATAATACTTAATTTATTCTTATTACAAATCTCAAGGGATTAAGAATCTTTGGCCTGGTGGATTAAAGTTGAAAGTGTTTTTGAATAAATGGTATTATCTTGACATACAATTTATATTCTTTTATATCATAGTGTTCTAAATACATCTGGTACTCATAAATATGATTTGTGATATGATCATGATGTAATCAATATTTTAAAAATCGACCCGAAAAAGAGAAAGGGTCAAGGGTCAAAAGGTCGAACAAGAACTTTATAAAAAATTAAAAAATATACATTTATAAAGAAAGAAAAGAACGAAAAGTAATTTTTTTTATTAAATCAAATCACAAAATCAATCAATTACAATCAAGAAAGTCAGGTGCTACTCAATTCAATTATATAATGTAAAATAAGTAACTATATAAGTCAATAACATAATATAAACAATAATGTCAATAATATGAAACTTAAATAATTAAAATTTAAAAGTTTCACATAGCCTATCACCAATAAAAAATGTCCAGTAATAATTGGAACCAAAAAGTGCACTAAATATAAAAGATTAAATAGTTAAATTTCGCCTTCATCAGTTATACGATCACTTGAACCACCAAAGCGACGAAGTACATCCAATGTATCTAAATCACCTATATCTTGAGTATTAAGCTCGTCATTATTTCCATTGTCATCTAAAACACAAAAATAAGAAACATCGTTAAGCGTATGAAAACATGGTGGGACTGATTGTTGCTACTAATTTTCTTCAATTATGAATTTTACTTAATAATGTGAAAATTACGCTGATGATAAGGGCGGGGATCCTAAAAGCTCCTTTTAATGCCTTTCAGGTTGCTAGAGAATTTGTTGTGGATAAATCTCAAGAAGGAAAGACTTTAGAGACCAACTAGTTTGATCTAATCTTTGTTCATGTTGGAGCTGATGAAAAAATAAATGATCTCAAAGACACAGTTTATGAGTTGGTGGGCTGATGAATATGGCACAACTGGAAACTGATACTGGTTCTAGGTTGCATGTGTCTATTATAATAAGCCATGGGGCTACCCTGGACGATGATAATTCAATCATTTCAGCTTCCGATGTTAAACTCAAGATTAACAATGAACTTTCACAACTTTTCCCTCGTCAAAGTTATACAATGAAAGGGTTCTCTACAGATAACCGGAGGTTCGAATTCCCGCGGCAGCTGGAAGGTGACATTTATGTTGAAAGACAGATATTCTTCGGTGGCAAAGTTATGGTGCGCTTGTCGCCCCTCCGAAATCCTGTCCGCATATCGTAAAGGGAGGTTCATAGGAAGGAAAACCGCTTCTCAAATGTCCAGTTCAAGTGTGTATAAGCTGTGACCACAT